GCCCTCACAGCGGCCAGTGCCCGGTCTGGAGTCCGTTCTTCCATGTGAGGCTGCCTCTGTGTGATTGTTATTTAACTCGTACTTCGGCCTTGCAAAGCTGGGATGGGCGGAAATGATACTCCTCTTTGTTGAGTTGGAACATGGAATAACAAATTTGTACTGAAAACTGGCACTGGCAGGCAGGTCTTGTCATCTGGCAGGATTTGTGTTTTAGGTCAAAACCACCCGGAGATGGGGCGGTGAGGAAGAGCAGGTGGCGAGGGTGGGGAACACAGGGACACCCAGGTACTGCCTTCAGGGCACCTTCTCACTTCCCAACAGAAAGTGACAACGCCCTCTGCCTCAGTTTCCTCTCTATAGGAAGCCCCCGTCTTCCCAGGGGCTGGAGGGAGGAGAGGCTTGGGGAGTTATGGTTTAGTGGGTACAGTTTCAGTTTGGGATGATGACAAAGCCTGGAGATGAATAGAGTGACAGTTGTACAACTTGTGAAGGTATTGAATGCCACTTAAAAATGGTGAAGATGGTCAATTTTATGTCATGTATGTTTTACTGCAATTTAAACTATACATGAAAGCGATGGGGTTAACTAGTTTCCCAAGTTTTTGTCGGCTCTGAAAGTCTATGATTCTTACCCTAATTAGGAATTTTCTCCCCAATTCGCTTCACCTTTCTAAGTGTCTTCTCTCCCTCATCTGTCAGAACCTCTCCCACAAGATCCCAACCCCGTTCTTCCTACAGATAGTGCCCCTGAGGGAATGCCTCCGGGCTGGAGCTATGCCCATGGGTAAGGTCTGCATTTGGTCACACAATACAGTCTTTCTGGAATCCTCACCCCCTCTTCCTCTGATGGGTTGACCTTCTCTGCTAGAAGTGCTATTGGGCATTAAAACAATTAAGATGCATATAATTAATTGTGCTTGACCTAAAGGCTGGGCGAAGAATCCCCGTCCCTGAGGATGAAGGCTGGGAGGCTGGGTCAGGCCTCTCCATCCAGCACGTGATGTGGCCAAACAGCAGTGCCGGGCGGGAGGGCAGGTGTGGGAACCCAGCCTCCACATAGTCCTGACAGCTCCTCGGAGTGGCATGGGTGGGGGAACCTGCCTCACTGGGGTCCTCAGAGAATCCAGTAACGCTCAGACTTCTCAGAGATGGGTGCTGGCTGGAGGGCCGGGCCGAGCCCCAAGCCCTGAGCCTGCTCGGGCCCAGGTACCGGGCAGACATGGGTGGGGCAGGAGGGAGAAGCTGCCGGGTGGGCACCATCACGTCTACCCTCCTTGCAACGAAAGGCAGTCTGTGGTCTACGCTGTACTGGGGAATGGAATGAATATTGACGTGCCCCCAGGAGAGCCGAGTGTTTGTGTTTTGCCCGCTTGGACTCTTCCTCCACGTAGAAACCTTTATCTCAGCTACCATAGCCCCCCCACTCCTATTCCCAAAGTGTGACAAGTGCAAGGCCAGGAAGGAAAAGAAGTAAGCTGACCCAGGGACAGCTCCCAGGCATTTTTGGAGCCGTTCTCCCTGAGGTGTGGTCAGGGCCATCAGGTGAAAAAGGGGTGCTGGGCCACGAGGGACCGCGCAGACCTGGAGGCCGCCTTGTGGCAGTGAGTGGCATAGCGGGCGGTGCTGGGAGTGCGTTGTAATTGAGAACATGCACTGCACGAGTCCCTGCAGGGGGAGGGAGGGAAGCACGGGAGCAGAACCGCTTCCTTTAAATAACGGGTGTCCTCCGAAAGCTTTGTAAGTCAGATTCCTAGGGTCCGAGGTGACTTATTGTCCTCTTAGCTCTGAAGGATGTGCCTATATATCTCCCTGAAACAGTGCGGTGGGACATATGCCAGCTCTGAGGGTAGCAAGCAGCTTGTTTAAGCAAGGACCCTAGGAAGCGGCTCCTTACAGGAACCCTTCAATCCACCAGGCGAGAAGAAAGGATGCTTGGGTAGTGACGCGCTGTGGAGGCCAGGTGAGAGCCTATGCACGGCTAGGGGTGGCATCGATGCGCTGGCACAGGTCACGGGTAGGCAGCCAGCCAGGCAGGATGCAGCAGCGACCTAGCATGGCACGCACACAGGGCCAGGGGGTCAGCCAGGGCTCCAGACACAGGCTCCAGGCCCGGGGAGTGAAGTGAAGCTCGGTAGAGCACAGGGACACATTCCCGAGGAGACAACTCCCACTACAATCATCAGGGTCAGAAGACAGGAGTGGGGCTGGGGACCAGGCTGGGCCTGGAAAGATGCTCAAAGCTCTCACTTGACCAGCGAGTGGGCTTCTGGAGGTGGCCTCCCACCT